ACTGCACCTTTTTTACCTTGGTAGCAGAGTAAATGTTTGTCATATATATGAGGCCAACGGTTGAAAGTTACTTTAGCATAGTGGCTAAAGAGATTGAGATAGCAGTCAGACAGAACCTGGTTTGGATCTCTCCTCTGCCATGACCTCACTCAATGCCACTCCCTCAGCCTTCCTACATCTGCAATCTCAAGATAATAATATTGACCTATCATACAGGGGGGGACATGGGTGGCACTGTGGGTTAAACCACAGAGCCTAGGACTTGCTGATCAGAAGGTCGGCGGTTCGAATCCCCGCGATGGGGTGAGCTCCTATTGCACAGTCCCTGCTCCTGCCAACCTAGCAGTTCGAAAGCATGTCAAAGTGCAAGTAGATAAATAGGTACCGCTCTGGCAGGAAGGTAAACGGCGTTTCCATGCACTGCTCTGGTTCGCCAGAAGCGGCTTAGTCATGCTGGCCACATGACCCGGAAGCTGTACGCCAGCTCCCTCAGCCAATAAAGCGAGATGAGCGCCGCAACCCCATAGTCGGTCACGACTGGACCTAACGGTCAGGGGTCCCTTTACCTTTACCATACAGGCGTGTTGTAAAGATAAGGTAATCTGTGCAAAGCAATAAAAAAGTTCCATATAAATGCTAAGCATTATTGTTATTGGAAGTATTTCAGGGCTCCCAGATTTTCCAGTTAGTGATCCCAGACATGCCTGCCTGGTTCAACAACATTACAAGGTAGCTGGACTGTCAATTAAAGTCGCTTCAAGGCAGCTCCTTGCATCCTCCCCATTTTCCAGAAATATTTCAAGAGGTAACTTGAAGCTTACAAGGGCTTTCATGAGATCATTTAGTAGCAAAAGGTATGCATGCATAAATCAACAGTTTACCTACTTATGCCAGAACACCCACCTTTGCTCAGTGCTTCAGATTAAAATAAGGAGCAATTGAGCAGTAACCCAATTCCTGTCATTTACTCATAGCTTCTAGCTGTTGGGAGATTTTAGAAACACCCCCAGCATTAGTTTGTATTCCCTGACTGTCTTGTCTAATAGCTACTGACATTTTTTTTTCCCTCCGGGAACTTTTAAATCCTTTTTTTAAAAGAGTTTTTTATTTTCCGTTCTCGAAACGTTCTGTGGCAAATTTGATTCATGGATCAAACTGAGTATTTTGTTTAGACTCTTCTGCCTGCGTCGCTTCAGGTTCTCCGCTGTTTTTGCATTATTGAGCCCAGGTAAAATTAACAGCCGCTCCCCATCAACTTACTTCGCAGCACTGATGATTTTCTCATGTGCTTCTGTTGCACCGTCTTCCTGTCATCTGGCTCAAGGAGCCTCAAGTCTATTATGGAACCTGTTTCATCTCACTGATCATTTTAGCTGCCTTCCTCTGTCCCTGTCCTCCCTTGCTCTGCAACATCAGGTTGAGCTGTGGGTGGAGGAAGATCAGCCCCGAACAGAGAAGTGCAAATACACCTTCGATCCACACGGTGACATTAAAATATGTGCTCTCTTTTTATTGGAATAGTTCTAATACGGACCCTCCCTCTCCCCCCCCTTCCCCCTCAGCGTGTATTACTTTGCAATTTCCAACACTGAATTTCATCTGCCATTTTATTGCTAAAGTCACCCAGTTGTGTAATGACCTTCCAGAAGACAGCAATCTGCTCTGGACTTTAAAGCTTTGCCAGCTGTAAAATGTTTCCACCTCAGTATCCCTCCCTTCCTTTCTTGAGGTCACTGTTGAATATGTTTAACATCGCTTCTTTGATGCACAGATGCTTGCTCCCACTTTCCTATTTAGCCTTTCAGTGCGATGCTGACCCTGTCATCGTCCTAGTCCTCAGCACAGCACATCTCTCAACACAGGACAGAAAACGCATTCCGGTGCTTGAGGCAGAAAATCCAAATGGTGCCCCCATGGTGATTTAAAACAACAACAACAACCTAAGTACCTTCAAAAAAAATAGGGCTTATGCCAGAACAATATGCTGAAAAAATATGTTTTGAGTTTCCATCTTTTTTTAATAAAAAACCCCCCAACAACAACTCATTACTGATTCACAAAAAGATCGTCCCCCTTATTCCAGGATGACTTTGTTTTCTTAAGAGCTTTTGATGAAGGGCTTTGTCAAACGCTTCTGAAAATCCAATTGCACTAAATCAACTGGGTCGCCCTGTTCTACATGCTGCCTGACATCTTCGGAGAATTCGGGTAGATCAGTGAGATGTCACTTTCCCTTATTAATCTCACAGTTGACTGTTCCCTGACATAACAATATTTATCTGAGTCTCGTATGCTTTCGCCTAGGCTCCCAGAATTTCTGTGCATTTTCTGTTTACAGTGAACAGAGGTTTTTTTCTCTCCAGCTCAGTCCTGTACATATCTATTCAGAAGTAAAACCCTGAGGCCCTACCATGAGGAAAGGTGTGGCTCCTGCCTCAAGGTGGCAGGTTTCTGCCACCATGATAGTAATGCAGACTGAAAGATAGATCTGAACCACAGGGCACAATCAGCCAGGAAATTCTCCTGTGCAAGACCCTCTGAATGAATAGGAGCTGCACAAGAGAACTCCATGTGCTCTGGCACACTTGGATTAATTTCAATGGATCGCCTGCTGGAGAATGTCTGGACTGATTTTGCCATTAGTGTAGCCATTTGGATTTTTTTGCATCAGCTGCCAAGATGTCTTAAGGAAGACCCTAGTTACTCTAAGCTCAGCCAGAAATCTATACAGAGAAATTTTCACTGGTCTCTCCTGGCTTTCAGATGCATGCAAGGATGTTCAATAGTCATACAAATATAGCAATGTGGGCAGAAGGAAAACTGGCCCTAGAGCCTAGAGACAGTGGGTGTGATTCTGCACCATTGTTCTGAATCCCACACTGGCCTAGACTTCAGATGAATAGACTGCTACTCTTAATCAGTAGGAGTGGGAGTATCAAAAACCAACTGCTGGTGTGTGTGGCTGAAGATTTGCAGTGATGGATCCTGCTATGTTCTGGAGAAAGGAAAAGGGAATTCAGGGGGGAAAGACGCCTAACAGGGAGCATGATAGAGGTGAACATGATTATGAATGGCGTGGGAGTACATAGGGAACATTATTTCTTTCTCTCAGTGGCAGTGGATTTAGGACAGACCAAAAAAAAAGTAGCTCTTCACATAACACACAATAAATTAGCTTACAGAATTCGTTACCAGAACATGCAGAGACAGCTTCTAGCTTAGAGGCTAAAGAAATACTCAAAATCATGGAAGACAGGACTAGCCAAGGCAAGCTAAAGAGACCCTCCATGGCTGGGTACAGTCTACCTCCAGTTGCTAGACGCTGCACAGCTGTATTACATTGTGCCTCACGGTGAGCCTCCCCAGCTACTTTTGGGGACCATGCTGGGCTCAAGGGACCCTTGGCCTGAACCGAACAGGCATTTCTTATGTTCGTCTACAGATCTGACACTCTATAGAGGTGGAAAAACTGGGACTAAGAATACGAATGCTGGTGCTGTCCCAAAGTGTGAGTCCCTGCTGTGCTCCAAAGCTGGGCTGTGACTTCATGTTGATGGTGGCTAATGCACTGTTTACAGCAATCCTCCAGCCTTTGCTCGCTGAGGTTGTGAAGCAAAATCTGGAGCTATCTCACCCTATGATGGTGTTGCTTCTGCTGAAGGCAAGAAGCTGAGGAAGTGTTAGCCTCAAATCTTGCTGGGGAAAACAGTTCGATGTTCAACAGCTGAGAAAGCGAACCTCACTACCACCTACCTGTGGATCAGATGGCCTGGAATCCTAACGTGCCTACGGATGTCAGCAAGCTTTGTTCTTCCACCTCTTGCAACAGCAAAAAGCACAGTCCAGAGCGCGCGCACTTGGGAGAATAAGTGCCATTGAACTGAGCGGGTTGCGTAAACATGCCTAGGGTAGCACTGCAAATCCTGGGAGCCAAACGCATTTTCCTGTGTTTAGGAAGGGGCTGTCCAAGCACAGCAATGAGGCCCCTCCCAGAGGGGCTGAATTCCCCCCATGGGCATCCACAAGCAGTCTGGAAGATTTCCTCGCATTGTGTTGCTGTGTGTGACGCATTCATTGCTGCCCTGGCTCTGGACTTTTTGCAGGACACCCACCCTGGCCGGTGCACAAGAGGGGCTCAAGTTATCACACTCCTCCCTCCCTGACATTCCTCCCTGCCTTGCTTGGTCACAGTTGTTCTTTGGGCACAACAGGTCTGGGTGCATCATGCATGTCAAGAGCTGCGGGGAGCTGGAGCCAGACTTGCTCATGGAGCTGGGGCAAGGCTGCTGGATAGGACCAGATGAGGCTGCCAAGTACAAACCCAGAAGGAGCTTGTTTTCCTCCATCAAAGGAAGCATCCTTGATCTGTCTCTCTCTCTCTCATACACACACACAGACAGACACACACAGAGAGCACACTGCACTGAACAGAACATCCCTCCTTGGTCCACCAAGCTCCACAGACCAGGCGCCCCAGGGCTCTCCAGATCTCTCTCTCTACACGCAGGAAAGCCACGAAGTCCACGAAGCAACCCCACAAAAACACATTTGCTTTTTTCACATTGTGGAACCCACCGAGGGGGGGGATCTCTCCCTCAGACCCCACAGAAACCCCTTTATCTCACATCTTCAAAACCACCACCCTTTCTTACTTCCAACAGGAAAACAGAGAATTCCCCCGCCCCCACGGAAAACAAAACCGGGACTCGAGTGGACCCCGTTCCCCCACCGAGCAGCCCCTCGCCTCCCCTCGACGCACTGGAGCCCCGCGGAAGGCGGGCAGCTCCGGACCCGACAGGAGCGACCCGCAGCCGCCCCGTTTGGGAAACGTTGACCTAAGAGGGGCGGCAGCCCGAGCAGCACGCCCCGCCGCCGCCCCATCCGCAGCCCTCTCTCCGTGGGGAAGCGAAGGCGCGACGGCGGAGGGGAGCCGGAGCCGAGAGCCCCCGCTCCGTCCCCGCCGGGCAGCGCGCCCGGGAGCCAGCCCGCCCGCCACTCACCTTCCCAGCGGCGGCGAGGGGGGACGCCGCCGGGCTTGGGGGAGCCCGCGTGCCGCCGTCGCTTCCCATCTCCGGGCTCGGCGAGGCTACAGCGCGGACTGCGCGCCAGCCTCTTCTGGCGAGGCTGTCTTGTCCGCCCGTCCGCCCGTCTGTCTCGCTCGCTCCGGCTCTCCTCCGGTTAACCCTCGGGCTGCCGGCGGGCTGGACCCCCGCCTGCTCGGCGCGCCACCAGAGGCCGCCCCCTCGAGCGGGAGGACGGGCGCGCGGGGCGGGCGCCTCTTCGCGCAGCCGGCGAGGGAATGAACGGGCAGGAGGGCGCCAGGGAGGGAGGGAGGGAAGGGGTCCTCTCGGGGAGGGGCTACCGGAGCCGGGGGGGAGAGGAGGCAGCCCCGAGCGTGCTCCAAAGCCCTCTGGAAGGAGACGGAGGGGCAGCAGATCGTGCCACCCGCGCCCCGTCTGCAGCTGGGGCAGCAGCCTCTCCCACAGCCCTGGGGGCGCCCCAGAGCGCAAGGGTTTTCTTTATCAGAGTGCCTCTGGGCATGTGCAGAGTGTTCCCAAGCAAGATGAGAGGTCCGCCTCCCGCTTTGGGGAGGAGCGCGAAGGGTTCCGTCCAGGGCAAAGGGGGCGGGGAGGGGATGTGTGGGGCTCCCCCCACCTGGCAGCCTCGGGACCTCTTGCCGTGGCGCAAGGAGCCGTGTCTCTCGTGTGCGCTCTGCTCCTCATATTTCCCCCTTCACACGACCTGCTGCCCCGGCAGACATTGCTTCTGCTCCCCCCAGCGTCCTCCCCCCTCTCCCCCCCCAGCCCAGCCCGCGTTGCTAGGGAGCGAGGCGTCTCCAAGGGCCCTGCCGGGCGCAGCACCTGTGGCTGAAGCGGCCTCTGCGCGCACTTGGCGCTCCAGCCAAGCCTGCCCGCAGGGAGGGTCGAAAGAGCGAGGGGATCCGGCGCGCCGCCGCCCCTGGAGAGACGGAGGAGAGCCGAGGGGCGGGTGGGGCAGCGAGGACAGGCGAGGCGAGGCAAGGCAGGAGGAGAGCCCGCTCTGCCTGCCTGCCCTCCACCATCCCTTGGCGCTCTCCTCCTCCCCGGCGGCGGCTGCTGCTGCCGGGCTGGGCTCTCCATGGCTGCTCCCGTTGCTCCCTCCGCAGCTCGGTCCCGCTGCTGTGGCGCTTCTTCCACACCACGAAGCCGCCTCGCTCCTCCTTCCCTCCGCCGCCGCCGCCACTCCCGCTTCTAGCGACCCTCTCTCGCGCCGCCGTCCTCGTCTCCTCCCTGGCATCGGGGGTGCTTTTCCCCAGGGGACCCCCCCTCTCCATCTTCGCCTTCTTCACCCCCCCCTTAAAAAGGCGAGCCTCCTGCGGTTCCTTGCTTCTCTTTTGAAGCCTTCCGAGTGGGGGAGGGTGCAAGAGGGACGGAGCGTGGCTAGAAGTCTGAATACACCGAGCGCGCACTCGCGTGTCTGGCCAGGGAGGAGGATTTTGGGTCCCGTCTCCGCCATAAGATTACCGTGCATATGTATTCGCCGTTAGATGAAATTCAAGGCTCCCTCGGTCACACACCTCTGGGGCTCGGGGGAGTCTCTGGACCACTTTAAGATCTGCCCCCCACCCACCCGACAAGGAAGCTGTCAGATGAAACATTGAAACTCTAAGGCTGTTCACACGTCGCGCTGCACACGCGTTCAAAGGGTCTGCGCACGTGTGAAGGAGGTGCGTTCCAAAGCCAGCGCCTGGACTAAGCTCGGAATGGTAGGGAGTAGATGGGGAGTGCTGCTGCACACGTGTTGACTGCAGGCAGGTACGATCGTGTGAGGGATGTTCTTGTGAATGTTCCAAGCACGCATGGGCAGTATCGCTCGCATCGCAAGCCCTGCAAAAGTTCCTCTCGTTCGTCGCTGCTCAACAGGGAGCTGCTGCAGCCAGCCACAATTCCCTGGATGCCTGTAGCTATATTTATGCATTAGTTGCATGCAGAGCCTTGCTGTACTGAAGAAGGAACAAGGGCCGTGCATTTACCCACCTCACCAGTTGCCCCTCCTTGTGCAACGGCCCGATGCGTCTGCCTGCAGTTAACCTCGGTGTCCTGACCGCACAAGCAGGTGCTCCCACCTTGGGATTTCACTGCAGACAACCAGGCTCTCCGATGCAGTTGCTGCAGAAAAGAGTAGCAATGTCAGGGCAGAGCTAAAAGCACAGCCCTGCTCCTCCATCTACAGGATGAGCAATGCATCCATGGAATTGCATCCATGGGCATCCACGGAATTGCGAATGGCTGCAGCTCCCTCTGTTGTCTTTGTCCATGGAGTTTTCTAGGCAGGGATACTGGAGTGGCTTGCCGGTTCCTGCTCCGGGTAGATCACGTTGGGTCAAAACTCTCCACTATGACCTGTCCATCTTGGGTGGCCCTGCATGGCATGGCTCATAGCTTCTCTGAGTTCTTCAAGCCCCTTCGCCACGGCAAGGCAGTAATCCATTAAGGATCATGGCCACCTCATGAGAAGAGAAGACTCCCTGGAAAAGACCCTGATGTTGGGAAAGATGGAGGGCACAAGGAGAAGGGGATGACAGAGGACAAGATGGTTGGATAGTGTTCTCAAAGCTACCAGCATGAGTTTGACCAAACTGCGGGAGGCAGTGGAAGACAGGAGGGCCTGGCGTGCTCTGGTCCAGGGGGTCACGAAGAGTCGGACATGACTAAACGACTAAACAACAACAACAACAGCTCCCTCTACAGGAGGGGCGGGGAAGTCTTTTTCAGCTGCACTCTCTCATGGGCAGCCTTCTGCACAGGGGGCACAAGCCAGAGGTCAAAGCAATGGGGTGTGCACAATGAACAGCGTAAAGGAAGCGCAGAAAATGCCCTGTCCAGAGGCAATGTGAGCTTAGCTGCCTCAGGAGGCACACTTAAAGGTGGCAGAGTGGGAGGCAGAGCTGATTTGGCTACTTGGAAATTTTGCTGCCCCGTGGAAATCGGTACAGAAGCTCAACAGGAGCACAGCACCTATATGCCTGGCTAACAGTTTTAACTGGCTTTTCTGACCACATCCAATTAGTAGGTCTGGCAGTTTCGGATCGGAAGAGGCTTGCAGCATTTTGGAAATGGCAGGTGTCCAACTCGGAAGCTTGTAGTTGGGGGTGTCCAGGTAAGAGAGAGAGAGAGATACAGAGAATATCTCAGTGGGAGAGCATCTGCCTTGCGGGTAGAAGGCCTCGGGTTCAATCCCTCGCATCCCCAGCTAGGGCCGGGAGAGGCTCCCTGCGTGAAGCCCTGGAGAGCCACTGCCAATCAGTGCAGAGACAATATTGAGCTAGTTGGACCAATAATCGTCTGACTCAGTGCAAGGCATCTTGCTATATTCCTGCGATGTAGGGAGTTATTTACGCCTCATCAGATGATTAGACCCAAAGAAGTTTATCCCTAGAGAGTAGCAATTGCTGGCAAGAAAGTCCCCAGTTTTTTATTTTTTTTAAAGCCTTAAATTGTCAGACTAGAAATACAAAGCACCAGGGCGGAGAATCGGTGGCAGATATTTACAACCTGAATATGGCATTTAAATGCTCTGAATCTTGTGCATATTCACTCAGAAGCCTGGGTTCCATAAGATGTACGCTGTAGTAAAGGTTGCAACCTAAGGCTGAGATCCCATGCATGCATGCAGCCTTATCTTATCCGTGTTTACTCAGGAGTAAGCACCACTGGCTTCAGTCACCTTCCATATGGCAGGGTAAGGCAGCTGCCTCTGGTGGAAGATGCTGGAGTGAGATTGGGGGGGGGGTGGACTTTAGTAATCTTTCCTAATATGGCACCTGGTGCAACGCCAAAATTTGGCGTCCCAGAATGGATCTTCTCATTGGTGGGTCTTCTCAATTTTGTGCCCCCTCCGCATGGCACCCTATGGGGGTGAACTGCCTGCAGTGCCCTAAATCTAAACATTAGGAAGAACTTCCTGACAGTAAGAGCTGTTCGACAGTGGAATTTGCTGCCAAGGAGTGTGGTGGAGTCTCCTTCTTTGGAGGTCTTTAAGCAGAGGCTTGACAACCATATGTCAGGAGTGCTCTGATGGTGTTTCCTGCTTGGCAGGGGGTTGGACTCGATGGCCCTTGTGGTCTCTTCCAACTCTATGATTCTATGATTCTATGAAATCTGGCACCGTGAGAATGCAGTGTCACACTCCCCTACCATTCTTGAGCCTTGTGGCTTTCCCCCTTATGTACTGAATTGAATAGGATCCAAACTGCAGCAGTCTGATTGGTCCTAGAACAATGGGATCCAAAAGGCAGCAGTCTGATTGGTCCTAGAACAATAGGATTCAGAATGCAGCAGTCTGATTGGTCTTAAAACAATGCAGCAGTATGATTGGTTGGCAGGAACCACCCAATCATGCTCCAGATAGAAGTGAATCCACAACCTGATTGGCTTACAGTAGAATTCCAGAATTAGCCAATCATGTGCAGCCCATTGTGTAAATAATGTATATAAGCAGACCCCTCAGACATTCATCCATTCCTCCTCACCACGATGAGCTGAATAAAGAGCATGAAATCACTTTGCGACTCTGAGTATATTTCACTGGCGACGAGGATGGGATCCCGCTGAGCTGACTGCCACACACAGCACCGCAGCACGCAGCACCGCCACCTGCCGCACCGCTGCCTCGCACCGTGTATCTAGGCTTCAGCTCCGGGACACAAGGAACTCAGAATGGCAACCGACAGCAGCTTCTCGCCGTTCAACCCAGCATCTGGAGACTGGGAAGCGTACGCCTCCCGTTTCACCTTCCTCCTAGAAGCCAAAGGGGTCACCGATGCAGAAGACGCCAAGAAGAGGGCAATATTCTTCAGTGTCTGCGGAGAGGAGACGTTTGAAATCGCCCGGGCTCTCCTTGCACCTGAAGACGTCGCTACTGTTCCATACAAAACAATAATGGAACAGCTGAAGGGGCACTTTTCGCCACAGCCCTCAGTGGTGGCTTGTCGAAATGCCTTCTACGCAAAGCGGCAAGCCCCTGGGGAAACCATAACTGGGTTTGTGACCTCTCTCCGCCAAGCTGCCCGGTTCTGCAACTTCTCAGAGCTGGAGAACATGCTTCGTGACCGCCTCGTCGGTGGCCTGAAGGATGAAAGCTGCAACGACGCCTCTACGCTAAGAAGAACCTAACGTTCCAGGTCGCTCTGGAGGAGGCCCTGGCAACGGAAGCGGCCGAGAGGTCAACGCAAGAGGCACGGCCGAGCCAGCCGTCCCAACCGAGGGTCCACCACGAAGACCTCACCGACGACTCAGGATCCGACAGGGAGGAGGTGCACAGAGTACAGCAGCGCACTCAAGCAGCCCACATACCACAGCTGCCTCGACGAGAAGGAGGGAACTGCGCAAGCTGTGGAGAAAGTCACGAGAGGAGGACCTGCCGTTTCCGCAACGCAGAGTGCAGGCAGTGCAGAAAATTGGGACACATCGCCCGGGTGTGTCGGGCTCGGCCCACCCGACGCCAGGCATCAGATGACCAATCCAAGAGCCCCAGGTCCCGGGGCCCAACGCACCAAGGCAACTCAACGGAGCTCACGGACTTCCAGGTATACCAGTTGCCCCACCCCAACGTAGAGAAAATTTATGTAGAGGTACAGATAGAGGGGGCCCCATGC